CCACCATTACGCGGTATTGCAGTTGCGAATTCGGCGTATACTGCAAAACCTGCACCAGCAATGATCGCACCAACGACCCAATATACCAAGGACATTCCCACGCTGCCAGACTGCGCGAGAATGGTGCTGGTCGTTGCGACTGGCGGAACATGATCGCTTGTCAGCTTCTGAGCACCTTCTAAGAGACCGCGTCTCGAGCGTCAAGCATATGACGTACAGGCTCCCGTGCCAACGATTCGGTTAATCATAAGGAACATGGCCGAGATAACGCCGATCTGTCGTCCCTGCGGCACTTCGACCACGCTCTCAGAGTAGATGTTGAGGTCGACCTGCGGAGCATCTTCGACGCTCCTCTCCACATGCTTGCCTGCTTCGATGCTTGCCTTGAGTGATTCGGAGCCGCTTTCCTCGCCGCCGAAGGCGGGAGAGGCTGACCGCATACTTTCTGCAAACGCAGCCATTGTGTAAAGCCTACGATCGGTAGTCCTCGAGCGCGATAAATTTGGTCAATCCTCAATGGTTAGCTATCAGCTCAGCCCGCAAGAAACCGTTGATCACGACTCGTGAAGAGTAGAGGAGGATACTATTCAGCCCCGAAAGCACATATCTTTGCTTCCGTACTTCTTGCAGACGCTCATATATACTTCCTCAGACAAACACGATTGATGATGAGGATATCAAATCGAGCTGCTAATCGAGTGGGAAAATGGGTTGATATCATGGATTGGTAGCACGTCATCTTCGCGTGAACGAAACGCCTTGTAAAGTAGAAACAGAGACACCACAGAGGACAGGCACGAACGTCAGGTGTCCAGGCTCGCTGCTGTCGGCCAACACGCTGACAGCTAACTCAACGCCGATCAATGGGGATTGAGAAGAGAGGGAGTTGTACCGTGGCGGCGGGCGCAAGCACAACCCCTGTGAGCTGCGTCCTGCTGCCTCCCTCCTCCCTGCCCTGGCTGCCGAGGGAGGATAAGCCAAGGCTGGATCTGTTCCTTGTTTCGTACCCTGTTCCTGTCCGACGCTTCATCCTTCCGCCCTTCCGCCGCTCCACCGCTCTTTTTAGATTAAAAAAAAATTGGGCGTCAAAAAGGATGACGCTGGCATTCCGCCCTGCTCACAATTTCCAGATACCATTTTGAGCAAGACGTCAATCCCCTGCTCTGGGCTCCCAAAAAGC